AGCTTAACATCACTGATCATTAGAGACATGCAAATCAAAATCACATTGAGATACCATATCTCATGCCAGTCAGTATGGCGATTACTAAAAAGTCAAGAAATAACAAATGCTGGGGAGGCTTCAGAGAAAAAGAAACACTTTTTCACCGTTGGTGGGAATGTAAATTAGTTCAACCATGGTGGAAGACTGTGGCAATTCCTCATAGACCCAGAACCAAAAACACTATTTGACTCAGCAATTCTATTACTGAGTGTATTAGTTCATTTTCAAGCTGCTGATAAAGACACACCTGAGACTGGGAAGAAAAAGAGGTTTAATTGGACTTACAGTTCCACATGGCTAGGGAGGTCTCAGAATGGTGATGGGAGGCAAAAGGCACTTCTTATATGGCTGCCACAAGAGAAAATGAGGAAGAAGCAAAAGCAGAAACCCCTGATAAACCCATCAGATCTTGTGAGGTTTATTCACTGTTATGAGAATAGCATGGGAAAGACCAGCCCGCCCCTCCCCCTGTGATTTTTTAGATTCCTCATATAAGAAAGACCATATATTTCTTGTGTTTCCATGTCTGGCTTATTTCAGTTAGCATAGTGTCCTCTAAGTTCATGCATGTTGTCACAAATGACAGTGTGAAGGAGAAACAGAGTCTCGGGACCCCAAACTCACTATGCCAGAGGGAAAGTTAATCTTGTGGACTGAGGCACCAATACTGTCTTCCTTCTGTTCCCAAACAGATAACGGTAATTTCACAGCCTCACATTATAACCTTGTTTCCTCTACTCCTTCCCTCTTTTCACATGTTTACTTAATTTTATGTAAAATGTAGACTTACTGAGCACAAGACAATTTATAATCAACTTTCTCCTCTATTTTCTTTTCACAGGTAAAGTATAGATTTACTGAGGCTAATCAAAGACTCAGGAATATAACCATTTGTGTCATTGGCTATACTTCCTTCTTTTTTTCTCCTTCCCCTCTTGCTTGCTCTTTCCCCTTTAAATACTGAAGTTCTCAAAACACTCTATGGCAAAAACCTGGATCACAGATGCTCCTGTGATTTGTGTTTTTCCCAGGTGTCTTCCTCAACCTTGCCAAAATAAAATTGATTGAAACTTACTTCAGTCACTTTTTGGCTTAAAAGAGGATTTCTTTGTTTTTAAAGCTGGAATAGGATTTAATTGTGTATACATACCTCATTTTCTTTATCTATTCATCTTCTGAATGACACACATTGATTCTATTGTGGATAATGCTGCAAGGAACACAGGGGTATAGCTATATATTCAACATATTAATTTTAAATTCTTTGCATACTGCAAATGGGATTACTACACCATATGATAGTTGTATTTTTAACTACTTCCATACTGTTTTCCATAATGGTTGTACTAATTTACCCTCCCATCAACAGTGTACAAATGTTTCCTTTTGTCTACATCCCTGTTAACACTTGTTATCTTTTGTCTTTTTGATAATAGCCATTCGAACAGATGTGAGGTGATATGTCATTGTGGTTTAAATGGAATATCATAAGTTTTCCTATTTGAAGATTAAAAGTACTCTCCCAAAAATATTACTGCTAATGTTACCGTTTTGCATGAACCGTGACCTTGAGTTGAGTTCTTGGACACATGAGTTCTTCAGTATGAGGATATGGGTTTAAGTACTCAGTAACTATATATTTATATTTTATATGGCTGAATATTAGGGCCTCTCTTTACTGGTAAGAACTTACAGAAGAAGGAGACAGACATTACAAAGATCTCACAAAGAGATAGTTAAGATTTTTGGGGGGAATGAAGGAATATGGTGGCTATGAATCCAGAGGCTGGGGGAAGACCTGTCTCTGGAAATATCCCAGGCATCACTATGGAACCAAAATTAGAGGCAAACAGAGTTGTGTTGGAATGAGTGACATGTGTAGGTTGGCTCTGGGTGGTTTAATCACCAGTGGTCTAACTGAGGCGATGCATGGATGAGGAGATTGACAGGAAGAAGGAACCTGAAGAGATAGATCAGGAAACAAAGCTTCATTGTACAGCATATCCACAGCAGGCAGCTTGGGTTTTTGTTCCAATCTTTTTCTGTCTTCAAGGGCCATTTTCATAGAACATGAGGAGCCATGGGACTGGTGAGGTCTGGACAAGATCACCCACGTTCCTCATTTCCCCTCAAATGTTTCAAATGCCTTGTATCACCTGATTTTTTATCTTCCTGCTAAAGCTTTCCCCATACTCCTACTTCATCCTCCATTGTCCTCCAATTCTTACCTAACTTCCACCCTGGAGTTCCCCCATGGCCACTTGCTTGTAGGAGGTACTGTCTGAACACAGCCTCTGAATGCTGCTGTTCTGGGTCTTTCTTCAGATTCTCTAGACTGAGATTTTAAAGAGTTAAATTTGTGCCAAGAGAAAGGACCTAATTTATACATGCCATGAAAAATTCTTATATATAACTGGTTACCTAGAAGTTGATATAAGAGAAATAAGTAAGTAGCTTCAAAAATATTTTGAAAAATTTAGAGATAATTGCTTGATAAATTTTAATTAAAGGAAAACAATATTATGGGGCAGCATTTGTAGTTATATTACCATTGGCATTAAGGAGGCCACAGAACCTTTCAGAATATAAAGTGATTCTTTATTCGTGAAGCAAATGCAGGGCAGGGTCCTGGATGGTCCTTCTGGTGACAGGGTGGCTCCTATGTTTACATTCAACTCCACTGACCAAGCACAGATTCCAAGAGATGCTGACCAGGGAAGATGATTTCTCCCTTGATTTTCACAAAGGAATCCACGACTTTTTCTTCCACCCTGACGGAAGAGAGGATGTCCCTTGAAGAGAATCTCCCTACTGTAACACCGACACCCCCCTCTCCTACTAATGGCAGTGTCTTTTTAGCTCATCTACCCACATGGGGTGTGCACACCCTCATCGTAATTGCTCTGCCCTCACAGAGGCCAGGCAGGCGACTCAGGTGAGGCACACAGAATAAGGATGCTTAACCTAGTTTATTTCTTCTCTGGCCTTCTTCTGCCTGAATGCCCTGAATAAAGAAAGCAGCAGGGATAGGGCCAGGGCAGACAACTGCAGAGAAGGCTGGGTCAGGCAGACACAGCTGGCAGAAGCCCAAAGCAAAACCTTTTCGATGAGGTTTTAGCCAATCAGAAAAATGCTGTAAAGCAACACTTGTTGCTAGCTGAAAAGTCTGTGTGAAGAGGCCTGTGGCACTGGGGAATCCCCAGGTCTGACGCAGCCTTTGCCTCATAGTAAACCCATGGGAAGTTTTTTCCTTAGACAGGATGGAGAGGATGGATTAGAGATCTCTATTCTGAGGGACGCTGAGGTAGGGGCTGAGGAAAGGCATTGAGGGCACCTTCAGGTCTGTCTGCTTATTATTCCTTGCCCCCAACTCCATTCCAGGTGTGAGTATGGTTCCTCCTTTATGCGTCCATCACAGCAGTGGAGACCCTCCTTAGACTGGGGTTACTGTGATCCTCAGTACACCATACAGCACTGCTGCTGGATGCCCAGTGGCAACTTTCCCAGTCTCAGGTGCTCTAAACTATGCACTGAATAATACAGAATATTGGAGTGACTCAACGCTTTCCTGTGCCACTATTGCAAACCTCTTGCTGTTGCCTCTTCCCTTTCTTTTTACCTGGTAAACTTACATTCTGATTTTAGATTGTATTCTCTGCTTTAAAAGCAGAACCTGAAATTTGGGAAGAGAAAGAAAGAAAGGGACAGAAGAAGAGGGTGGAGATATTTATTGTCTTGGTTGGGGTGAGAAGCAATGTTTGCCAGGCATTGTTCTAATTGCTTCATAACCATTGGTACTGCCCCTAGTCACCGGCAAGAGGAGCCTGTTAAGTTATAAGTTTATTTATGAAAACACACTGATATAGATATGTCCATGAGGAACTGTTAAATAAAAAATATAGAATTAAAAAAACCAATTGATACCTCTGCCATTTGATGTTTAGGGCTGGCACGGTAAAATCTGTGACTCTAAACATTTTCTCCATCATTAATACTATTCAGGACCAGGAAATGCTTCTCTACAGCTTTTGCTGTCTCTCCTCAAAACTAAACATGACTGTGTCTTCTGAATAAAGGCTTGCATGTTGTGTCTTTGCTGATATCAGATGCACCTATTTCATGGTTCAGGGAGGATTTAAACAGCTGAAGAACTTAAAAAAGAAATGTCAACTTAATTAACTTTTCAAATACTTTCACTCGAAGAGCATAAATACAATATATTCTTGCATGATGAAGAATCATTTAACATCATGGGTGGTGTCAATTTTTTTTTGCTTGTTTTTTTTTTCCACATATTAATACCAGATAGTTACACGTAACAGTTGAGGAGACTTTTGTAATATTAAACAAGTCATATTAATCTTAAATTTATATATGTGAAGATCTAGATGTAAAATACATGAAACATGATCCACATTTTACAAAGAGAAGCCTGGGGCAAAAATAAATTCAGTAATTTGTTGACTCCCTTAAAGCACATTAGTGGTGGAACTGCAGCTCACCATTATTTCCTTCTAAGAACTTTGCTCTTCTCACCAAAACTTAAGACTCCTCAGGGTGTCTGAGACAACAGCAGTAACAATTTCTATAACAGCAATTTTATCTCCCCTGAAATATAATCCCCACTTAATTTGCCCCATTAAAAATCTCAAGTATAAAAACAACAGCTTTTTACTCAGTATTACAAAGATTTTTACTGTTGAATCGCATTTTTCTTTTGCTGCTTAAAATCCCTTAGGCATTCAATCTTCAGCTCTTCTATAATTGAGAAGGAATTTTCACCTCAAATATTCATCCAGTGCAATTTGAAGAAGTCATACAGTGCCAGGCACTGGATTGAGAACCTTCACACAAAAATGTCTGCCCAGAGACAGATGAGGTCCTTCAGCTCCAGTGCTGATTGGTTCCTTTTCAAGGGACCATCCAATCCTACCACGCATGGAAACATCCGGAGCTTTTTATTCTTCCTGGCAGGTACATCAGATCCATCAGCTCCGAGCTCACTACTTTTCCCTTCATCTCAATTATGTCTTGGAAGAAGGCCTTGCGGATCCCCGGAGGACTTCGGGCAGCAGCTGTGACCTTGATGCTGGCGATGCTGAGCAGCCCAGTGGCTGAGGGCAGAGACTCTCCCCGTAAGTTCAGAGCAGATGCTCTGGAGAGCAGCCACTTTGGGAACAGGCTCTCCTTGGGCTGGGGTATTGGGGTGGTGACCTCTGTGGTCTCCGACACAATCTTTTAACAACATTTCCTCTCTTTTGGGAAAGAGAGCTATGTTGCATTACCATTTATCTTTTAGTGATGAGATGAGGACAATCCGATCCCCATCCTACAGGCTTAACCCTGGGAAAGGAAAGAGGAGACAAAGCGTACATTTACTACCAGTGATAGCACAAAGTGAGCATGGGGTCATTTTTGAAGATATGAATTTCTCCAAAGACACAGCAGGATTTGTCATTTCAGCGTGCCCCGTGACTTTGCCTGGACTAAATATTATGAGATCCTGCGTTAGGAAATGTAAGGCAGCAATGGTGTCTGCAGTCTCCGTATTTGCGAAAAAGGAGTCTGTGTTCCTGACTGAGTGGAGCATTTGCGGAGGCAAAATCTTGGTACTGAGGGAAGCTGACTGGCTGACCACAGGCAGGGAGTCTTCAGGTTTCACTGATTTATGACAAATGGTTGACTTGAGTGAGATTCAGAGACCTGAGTTGATGGTGGACTGAATTTAGTAGAAAAGAGGATGTAAAGAAGGGAAGTAACGAATAATGTGAAACCATTCATTTCAGACACAGGACAATACTTCATATATATTCTCTCCCTCACTCCTTCTAACATCCTGTGTGTAGATATGATTTTCTTTTACACAATTATACTTGTATTATGGATATTCTGTTACATAACCTGCCCAAGCTGGTGACTGCCGCAGTTTAACTGGAATCTCGTTAATCAAATTCAAAAGCTTGTGCTCTTTCCATGAATAAGTGTTTCTTTCTAGGACTCAGAGGTGTAGGTCCTTCTAACACGGAAGTTTGTGAACCTCATACGGCACTTAGGAGGGTAAATCCAGCATGGGAAGGAAGTTATTTTATGCAGGGACCAAAAGAATACCGTCTCAGAACGAAGACCGGGCTTAATTCCCGGACCTGTCTCGTCATTTTTTTAATTCTCAAGTTTATGTGGATAATTTTATCTCTAAGCTTCCCAGGAGCTCCATGGAAAATGGGATTTCATGCGAGAACGCCCTGATCCCTCTCAGTACAGAGGTTCATGTAAAATCAGCCCGACGGCCTCTTTGCTCAGTTCCCAGCTTAGGCAGGGACAGGCTTTCCTCCGTTTCCCCACTGCAGGAAGGTGGATTCCGGGACCCCCGAGAGGGCGGGCGGGGCTGGGCAGAGCCGCAGGGAGGGAGAGTCCCAGGTCTGGAACAGGAGGCACCGGCCGGCGGGAACGGGAGGTCGCGCGGGCGGTTCCGGAGCTCCGGTCCGGGTCAGGGCGGCGGGGCTGGGGCCGGGTTGCGGCCTGACTGACCGGCAGGTGATTCCCCGCAGAGGATTTCGTGTTCCAGTTTAAGGGTCTCTGCTACTTCACCAACGGGACGGAGCGCGTGCGTCTTGTGACCAAATACGTCTATAACCGAGAGGAGTTCGCGCGCTTCGACAGCGACGTGGGGGAGTTCTGGGCGGTGACGCCGCTGGGGCGGCCTCACGCCAAGTACTTCAACAGCCAGAAGGACTTCCTGGAGAGCACCCGGGCGGAGCTGGACACGGTGTGCAGACACAACTATCAGTTGGAGTTCCCCGCGATCTTGCAGCGGCGAGGTGAGCGGCGTCGCCCCTCCAGGCGGCCCACCCCTGCCCGGGGCCCGAGTCTCTGTGCTGCGAGGGGCGAACCTGAGCCCTGTTCGTTCGGTCCCAGGGGACCGGAGGCGGCGGCGGGGGCGCTGGGGGCAGGTGCCTCGGAGGGGCGGGGAACTAGGGCAGAGCGGAGGGACGGGCAGAGTTGGGCAGGCTGCCTAGTGTCGCCCCAGCCTCCCGGTCCGTCGGCCTCGTCCTCTGTTGTGCACGTTCTCATCTTGTGCCTTATGCGTTTTCCTCCTCGGGCCTTACCTTTGCTAAGCTGTTCTCTCTGCCCTGAATGCCCGCCCCGCTAGCACCGCCCCACCCAGCGAGGCCCACGTGCACGGCTCTCCCCGCAGGAAGCTTCAGGCTTGGCCTGGTGGAGACAGGGCTGCCCCACGAAGGCGCGCAGGGCCTCCAGCAGTTACAGTCGTGATATAAGATATTTTGACTTTTGGCTTCAAATCATTATTCATCCTAATTCTGTTTTCTTAAATGGCTCTAATGATGGAGCTCCTTGAGGTGAGAGACTGTTTTAATTATTGCGTGCCTGGTACCTGACACATTGACTGGTATGTGGTGTGGGCTCAATGATCTATTAAATTAATGAATAAATGTACTCAGCTGCCCATCCACTAAGGTTCAAGAAAAAAACAGAGGTAAACAGAGCCTTAAAACTGGACTTTATTAATTATTTTCTATCATTTTGCTTAATGCTTTAAAGTAAACTCTTAGTGATTTGGATCTTAACAGTTTGTGAAACCAAAGTTTGAGGAAAAAAGTGTTTGCTAAAATAAAAACAACATTTGAATGATGTTGTAAGGCAGAGTTTTAATTTCCTAGAAAAGCTGAACAAATGGCACAATGCAAAGAGCAGAAGTTTTGGAATAAATAAATTGATGGCATTAAATTATTGGATAAAAAGTTTCACGTTGCTTTTAGCCTAGGATCTCCCCTCCCCCCATCACTCTCCACTTCAGGAATAAGCATTCTGGAAGTCAATTTTACTCATTTAGTCAGCACTTATTTCTAGATAGTTGCCTTATCAAATACCATCTATGTTATGCCATTTAATCTCACAGTTACCTGTGCATTAGAGATTAGCATCACCACTTTATATATCCTAATATTGGTACATAATAAACACTTTAAGTAACCAGCCCACAATTACTTACCAAGACCTTAAGCCTCTCAAACTACACAACATTCTTTATGTTCTTTACCACACATCTACAGAGTCTAAGGGACGTAAAGCCTTGTTAAATCCAGTTTTGACCAGAAGCAGCAATGAGTCTATTCCTGTTTATTCTCCATGTCAATGGGACAAAATGATACTTTGAAGGCATTGAAAATTCACTGATTAATCAATCCCTAACACTGACCCCAGTGTTATCTATACAGGTTCACAAAACTTTTAATTTACTTTGTACTCCCTTGCCTTCTTTTGACTCACATCCTAATGCCAGCAAGTTCTTATATTTTTGCTATTTCAGTTCTATTTCCATATAATTTATTTTATCATCTTTTCTCATAAATTAGTGCCCTCTAATTTTATTTCCAATCTGTTTAAGATGAACAAATCTTATTAGGCCACATAGCTGACTGTGATTTCAGTCAGACTCCAGGAAGGAGAACCTAAAGAAATGTTCAAGTCCAAGCAGAAACCGCATTCCTTCTGGATGATGGCTCATGAGTGCCATTAATCGGGGTGCCACTTGCTGACCTCTGCAAATCCCAGTTATACTTATATGTTCACATTACAGGCTTATTAACCCAGGCTGATCTCTGCATGGATCTTAGAATATTTTCTATGGAGAATATACATGATAATGTCTGATTTCAAAATAAGAAAGTAATTTAATTCTCAATAGCAAGGGAATGGTGTAGGGTAGACAGGTAGTAATTAAACTCACTTGTGTGTTAAAAAGAAATTGAGGAAAAAAAGAAAATGAGAGAACATATTACCAAATAAAGAAAGCATACATTAACTATTTAATATAGTTTCACACTAAGAGAACAAAGGAAATGCAATGAAGGTAAAGGATGAGATGTGTAAAAGACACAGGGAAAGGTGTGTATGGTTTTTGTTTTTTTTTTTCCCCTATGAGCCGCAATCTGAGAAGATAAAGAAATTGAGGTGTGGGCAAACATGATGTTTGATCAGTGCTGTTTGTTATTCAAGGCCTGCCTACATTTTTTTCCCAAATATTATGAACTTTTGAAATAATATTCTTTTTTTTTTTTTTTTGGTATCTGTTACTATGTTGCACATTCTATAAAGGCAGGGACCATAATATGTCATTTATCTTTGGAGTCTCAGTAATTGTCAAATTTATATTTGTTGAATGATCCTTAATCCAAGACTTGGACTCCAGGTATCTTTCCATTCTGGTTCCAAGGAGGGACATTTCCTCATGGTAGATGTGCTGTGTGGTCTCACATCTCACTCCTGTGTCTTTTCCTGTCTGTTACTGCCCTCAGAGAAGCCTACAGTGACCATCTCCCCATCCAGGACAGAGGCCCTCAATCACCACAACCTGCTGGTCTGCTCGGTGACAGATTTCTATCCAGGCCAGATCAAAGTCCGGTGGTTTCGGAATGACCAGGAGCAGACAGCCGGCATTGTGTCCACCCCGCTTATTAGGAACGGTGACTGGACCTTCCAGATCCTGGTGATGCTGGAAATGACCCCCCAGCGTGGAGACATCTACACCTGCCATGTGGAGCACCCCAGCCTCCAGAGCCCCATCACCGTGGAGTGGCGTAAGAAGATACTGTGTTTCTGTTGCTGTGGGCCCCACAAGACAAAGTGCAGAGCTGCTTCTGACCCATCCCTTCTCATCTGTTATCCCTGATGTCACTACTGAGCTGGGAATCACAGGAGACTAGAGCACCTCTTCTGATGGCAAGTGCATCAGAAGAATCCTGATCTCATCACTTTTCCAGATGCTAGGGACATTACATACTGTTGCTCTGCATTCCAGTCCTGGTAGATCTGAGGGACTGATTATTAGGACTGGTGACTGGGATATTAGGGTCTAAGGTTTGTAGATGAGTTCCTGAGGAGTGGAGATCTGCTTCCCTGCTCTCTCACCTACTCACTGTATCCAAGAACTGGTCTTTCCCTCCCTTAGGTTGGTCTGAATGGAGAACTATGTTCCTTTGATGCCTTCATATCCTGTACCTCAGACTGGACTTCAGCTAAGGGATATGGGACAAATACTGACACTCAGTCTCTGCTTCTTAGGGGCTCAGTCTGAATCTGCCCAGAGCAAGATGCTGAGTGGTGTTGGAGGCTTCGTGCTGGGGCTGATCTTCCTCGGGCTTGGCCTTGTCATCCATCACAGGAGTCAGAAAGGTGAGGAACCCCAGGGGAAAAGGGGAAGATGTGCTGTGACCCAGACCCTCTGTTCAGAGAGGACCTGTCTCTAGATGTAGCTATTTCCTCCTGACCCTGAGAAGAAGAAGGCTGGGCTGGAGGTGGGAAGAGACAGGACAGGATTGGAGGAAGCATTGGAATCTGATTTTACTGGGTGAATGGTAGCGCTGCCGGAGCTAACTGATTAAGCTTATTCCAGGATGGCCTTACTGTTCACCATTGTCTCACTGGCTACTTATAAAAGATTCCTCCATTAAGAGGGTCAGAGCCTCGGCCTTCTTGCCTTCTAGTCACAATTTCCTTTGTTTTAGAGGATTTTAAATTAGGTGCTTAAGGCCTCGAAGAACATGGGTGGGAAGAGAATATAACTCTAAGTCACGTGTGTCATTTTCATTTTGGGTGAGAAAGTGGCTGTTTGTGTAATGAAACCTTTCTCTGCATAACTTCCTTTTGTAGGACCTCAAGGGCCTCCTCCAGCAGGTAATATTTCAGCCATGATCTAGTGTGGGGAGGGCGCAGGTATAAGAGGAAAGAGCATGAGCTGAGTGTACCTGACCACAGTGGTCTCTGTTTATGGCCTATTTGCTGCTATGAGGATCAAGACTTAGGGAAGAAGTTTGCCAGTTTCTAGGAATCTCCAGAGATTGTTCCCTAGAACCAAGCCTTAGCTTTGGTGGCATCTTCTTGTGAAATGTGGGGGCAGAACCACAGCTTAAATGTTAGACAGTAGGATGATGCCCACTTTGTGCCACATTTTGGTGGCTACTTCCTGTAGGCATTTTCCAGTGACTGAAAGAGGCCACTAGTGGTACCAATGAGGTATCATCCAATTTCCTCAAAAGATTGAACCCTTCATATTTCCCAGAAGAGTGACAGCTGTTCCCCCACCTCGCACACATCTACATCAAGCTGAAGTTCCATGTCCTCATGAGCTGATTTCACCTTTGCTTAGATCTTGGGGGAGGTGACGATGGTACACCCTGGACCTCAGCTTTCTCTGTCTGAAGCTGCAGGGGGCCCCTGAGGGGTGGGGGAGATGGCAGGCCCACCAGGGTACCCTGTGCTGATTATGCCTCGTCTCTCTTCTCCAGGGCTCCTGCACTGACTCCTGAGACAATTGTAACTGGGATTGGTTATCACTCTCCTGTAATGCCTGCTTATCCTGCCCAGAATTCCCAGCTTCCTGTGTCAGCCTGTCCTCCTGAGATCAGAGTCCTACAGCGGCTCTCACGCAGCCACCAGGTCATCCTTCATCCCACCCCAAGGCTCTGGCTGTGACTCTGCTGCCTGCACTGACCCAGAGCCTCTGCCTGTGCAGGGCCAGCTGCAGCTACTCAGGCCACAAGGGCTTTCTTTTTCTGTTCTCTCTTCAGACTGCTCAAGAGAACCACAGGAAAACCGTTACCTGACTTTAGAGCTTTTTAACATTATTAAACATGATTCTGAGTTGTCCGTATTCTGATCTTCCTTAATTGAGCAGAGGCAGGAAATCACTGCCGAATGAAGGAACATACCTTGAGGTGACCAACCCAATCTATGGCCAGAAGGAGGATTGTACCTTGAAAAGGCACTGAAAGCACTTTGGGGTGCAAAGTAAGGGTGGGCAGGGAGGCAGAAAGTCAATTCAGTTGTCACATTATTCAGGGCTCTTTCATATTGGTGTTCAGTGCAGTGGCCTTAGAATACCCCGGCCTGTCTTCTGGTTTGGTGAGTGCTGTGTAAGTAAGCATGGTGGAATTGTTTGGGGACAGATATAGTGACCCTCGGTCACTCGTGTTTCAAACCTTCTGGCAAGTCACATCAATCAGGAATAATAATTTTTATTTTTAAGAAAGCTAACCAGCAATAAAAGTGCTGTTTTTGATTCTAAATGATAGAAACCCAAATATATTTTGTTCATGGTACAAAGGAAGCCTAGTGTCAACTTGATTTCAGAAGTGACTAGTTCCAGATATTCAATGAGATCTTCACCTCTCTCTTATGTCTCTATCTGGGCATTCTGTCTCTTTCTCTGTGTTTCTTTGTCCCTGTATAGTTCTTCCATGTGTCTCTCTGCATCTTTGTTTCTGTTCCTTTGCTGTGTCTTTCACTACATTGTTGCCTTTCTATTTTTCTAATCCGTTGTCACTATTTATCTGCAGTTTTCTATATCTCCGTATGTCTTTTTGTATCTGTTTTTCTGTATTTCTCTTCCTTATCACTGCACATCTTATCTCATCTCTCTCGCTTCTTCTCTGTGTCTGTGTCTCTTTCTGTCTCTGTTATTTATGTTTCTAGAATGCCTGCCAGAGTTTTAACAACTTTAGGAAAGATTCTGACTGGCCAAGCCTGGGTAATGTGCACACCTCTCAACCACACTGTCCTGTGCACGGGATGCTGACAGCCAGCACTGTGCTCATCCCTCTTATTAGAAAGGAGGACTGTATTTTTCAGATCCTTGTGGTGCTGGAAATGACTTCCAGTGTGCAGATATCTACATTAGCTACTTGGAGCACCTCAGCCTCCAGAGTCTCCCCACAGTGGAGGGGTGAAAGGGGTGGTTTGTTTCTTGCGGAGCCCACAGGACAGATGGCAGAACTCCCTCTGGTTCTAGGGTCCCTCACTGCGGTACCTGTTCACAGCCATCCCATTCCTTGTTTGTGCTCCCTTTGTCATTGACATAGTAACCTGTTGATTCCTGATGACACGCTCTTCCTGGTTTTGAGGGAAGTCACTACACACTGTGGCCCCTTTGATGTGGGCCCAGCCCTGAAGCTGGTCTACATCTCAGTCTCTGAGTTTCACCGCGAAGACAGAGTTTAAGAGCTTCTGCAAGGCTTTGGAGGGCCATGACCCTGAAAGCAGACATCCCATCTTCCTTCATCCCTCACCCACACACTGGGCCTGAGGAGTCTTTGGCAGGCTCTTCCTTCTTATGGACGAGGTCAGAATGGAGAACTAGGTCTCCTTGGGACCTTCACCTCCTGTACTCCAGGCTGTCAGGCAGGTCCTCAGACAGAGACACTGGCGCTCAAAGAGACACCGACATTTGAGTTTCTGCTCCCCAGGGTTAGAGTCTGAATTTTCCCCAAGCAAAATGCTGAATGGAGACAAAAGTTTTGTACAATTTTGTCCTCTTCCTCAGGGTGGACATTGTCATTCACCATAGGGATCAAAAGGGAGATGCTTTTGAGGTAATGGGGAAGGCGTGTGCTGGGTTGTCCAGGGTGTCCCCAGTCTCTGTGTGTAGCTCCTTGCCTTTGACCCTGCAAAGGGAAGAGGCAAGAGGGTTGGGGATTGAACCAGCCTCAAAGTTTAGAAAGATATTGAGATCTGATTTTTCTAGTTGAAGCATAAGCTCTATAATCAGGGTGGTAGATTATATTCTAGGACATTCTTACAGTTCAACATTGTCACACTGAGCAAATGCTGGAATGTTTTTTATTAATGAGAGGGTCAAAATTTTCTTCTCTTTCTTCCATTGACAGTTTCATAGAAACAACTATTTTTTTTGCACCTAGGTTTCATTGGATAGTGTAATCTTTAATGGATAATTTAGTTAAAATGACAAGTACATCCTGTGTAAATAACTTTGCTAACATAAAGAACTGAGTCTTAGCATATAACTTGGAGGAAGGAGTGTGGGTGTTTTAGAGAACAACCTACCACTCTTGAGCATTTGTCCTTACCTTAGATAATAACAGTGTATCTTTTGGAGACAGTGGTGTTCCACCAGTATTCCAAAGCTCCTGTACATTTCCCAGTGTTTTCTGCGGTTAGGTTAGAGTCAGTTAACTAACAGTAGTCAATGGAACTTGCAAGTAGGTGCATGATGGTATATGAGATGCTGGAAAGTCTGTAACCTGAGTCATTTGAATAACTGTGGAATGAAGTCTCCTTATTGAGTTGAGCCACTGATATCTACTTTTTACTGTGGGTTAAGATCTTATTGCAGATATTTCAGTCTCCCCTTATGAGTTAGAATAATAAATATTTAGTAGGTGAAATTTCACCTCGCAATTTGTTTTCTTGGTATTTAAGTTTGAAGACATTGCACCAGATGCCATTACATTTTTGACAGCCAAGTTAGAATAATAAATATTTAGTAGGTGAAATTTCACCTCAGATTTTGTTGTCTTGGTATTTAAGTTTCAAGACATTGTACCAGATGCCATTACATGTCATTCCTGATGACACGCTCTTCCTGGTTTTGAGGGAGGTCACTACACACTGTGGCCCCTTTGATGTGGGCCCAGCCCTGAAGCTGGTCTACATCTCAGTCTCTTGAGTTTCACCGCGAAGACAGAGTTTAAGAGCTTCTGCAAGGTTTTACAAGACCACGACCCTGAAAGCAGACATCCAATCTTCCTTTCTCCCTCACCCACACACTGGGCCTGAGAAGTCTTTAGCAGGCTCTTCCTTCTTATGGATGAGGTCAGAATGGAGAACTAGGTCTCCTTGGGACCTTCACCTCCTGTACTCCAGGCTGTCAGGCAGGTCCTCAGACAGAGACACTGGCGCTCAAAGAGACACCGACATTTGAGTTTCTGCTCCCCAGGGTTAGAGTCTGAATTTTCCCTAAGCAAAATGCTGAATGGAGACAAAAGTTTTGTATAATTTTGTCCTCTTCCTCAGGGTGGATGATAATATTGTCCCTAGACCTCATAGAAAAAACCCTACCCTTGCAATACGTTATTTAGGTAACTTTAAATTACGCCGTTACTTTTCATATTTGCACTAAAATATTTCCAGGCTGCATTTGTATATTTAGATTTTTTGGTTTAAAGAAGTATCTGAGCTCTTTGCACTGCCTGTTATCAGTAGTGCCTTTATTTCAGGCTTGATAATACTCAGGTGTGATTATAAAATCATGAAGCAGGCAAAGGGAGGGGAAACCCCCAAACTGCTGTGGGGACATTTTATAATCTATATGCTACACCCACTTACTCTACTGTGGTGTTTGGTTCATTAGTTTTGCATAATTTCAGCTTCTATATATTATATGTATATATTTTTTAAAAAATCTCTATTTTGGGAAAAAACATACACAATGTGTCTTTCTTTTTGGATATTTACCTTTATGAAAAAGGAAACACTTAAAATGATCATTAGGACATAACAGTCTAGGCCAGAAATAACATCACGTGGCTTTGCAACTATTTTCATTTGTTTTCCTTTTATTTCTTTACTGTATTTAGATAAATGGAGGAATTTTCTCCAATTTTTTTCCTTCTCTAGCAGGTATCCCCAGCAGTCAGTTAACAATAGCCACTATAAAATGCCTAAATTAACCAATCTACAATCTTCCTTTACAAGTTATTTTTACCATTTTTTAGATGAATGTACGATGAGAAATTCAACATTAATAATTTTGGATTTTCTTATCACAAAAAAACAAAATGAAGGACCTCAAAGCACCAGAACAGTTTATCAACCAGTTTGAATCTACTTACCTTCATTTGAATTCTTCTAGAATATGTAAAAAGTAATAAAATGTATATTCCATGCTACATGTATAATAAGAACTTCTATAATTGTATATACGCCTTTGATGTATTTTCCCCTCAAGATTATCAACCGTGTGTTTGACAGTGAATATTAAATCTGTTATGAGTTGAAAGTTTTGATTATAAATGTAATGCAAATTGTTTCACAAACAGAAAATATGTAAAGCAGTATTAAAATCTGGCCAAACAAGTGTTCTGTATCTACTTTAATAAATCCTTATTCTTTAAAAAAAAAAATCTTATTGCAATGTAACCTTGCCCTTGCTGATTATCATGAAATATTTAACTTAGGGAAGAGAGTTCTTAAGTTAATAGGGTGAATCAATTGAGTTAATGGAAGTTGATCCATGTTAAAAATAATGATTTTTCTAAACAAATGTAAAAAAATTAAAAAGCAGAAAACTTTATTTGAACAAGAAAAAGTTAATGTTACATTTTAAAAGAATTTTAAATTCATCAATTATTTTTAATTGACAAATAGTTATTTGTACTACGTGACTTTTTGGTACATGTGATTAAACCCAGCTAATTAACATATTTATCACTTCACTTTTTTGTGGTATGAATATTTAAAATCTCTCCTAGCAATTTTCAAATAT